TATATATATATATATATATATATATATATATATATATATATATATATATATATATATATATATATATATATATATATATATATATATATATTATGATACAATTATGAGTTATCTCAAGTTGTGAATTGGGTAGCAAAGTGTTTCAGGCCCGTTTTATACGTCTAATTTTGGTCGTGTTGAATGCAATTAAGACAATAGATAATGAGATGATAAACCTAATCAAGCTTCATTATCTATTGTTTGAATTGCATTCGACGCGACCGAAATTCGACGTAAAAAACAGGCCTCATAAACAATGTTAGTTAAATTTGTCTATTCGACCATTATAAACAATTCTGTGACATTCTGATGTATATATCTTAATGAAAATGCTTTGACATTAAATTGTACTTATATAATATGCATGGTGGACCTTTTAACAGCTTCAAATGTTGTTTTACAGTTTTCGAAATATTTCGAGAACTAAAACCTCGAAGGAAAAATTCTATAGAAAAACCTCGACGATAAAAACTTTCCACTGTCAAATTGCCGGAATTGATGTCATTGCCATTGGGCTTAAAACAAAGGCGAACTAATTTGCAAATTAACTAATGAGATATTATCATCTATAAATAATCTAGATGATCATAGCCGGCAACTTCAACAGTGAAAAAGTCGCAGAAAAAGGGGTCTTTCTTAATAGAGTGACGCGAATACTTTGACAAGGATTCCGTTCAAAACTCCCGAAATGAGTTTCGGGTTAGTCATTATAGGGTTTAGGATTAACCTTAGGAAAAGGTAGCAATCACTGTATTTAAATCGAGGATCCATGTTTTACCTTCTGCCAGTGGGCACTAGAAGACTATAGTCACTATAAGTATCATGAATTATACAATGGGCTAATTTTCACATTCAGTTTTTGTCCAAATTGAGCCAAAATTTAATCGATTCGTCCACAAATTAAATAGCCCTACAAGTACAAATTTTCGTATTAGTATGTTTTTTCTTGATATTTCTTGAGTTTAGTGCTAACAGACAAACACAGACATGTCACATGCATAAACTTCCTGGACCTGGCGGAGGTAGAAATATGGATTTGCGTTGTTTTACAAATATTTTTGGCAAAAGAAACTTTCGAACTATTCATCAAAGGAAATTCCGCGTCATGGGTAACTACGCAACATCAATATCATTCAAAGAGCGATTAAAGCCTTTTTGTATAAAAAACTTAATTACGTATTCAAGAGTTAAAAGCATTGACAACTTCCTAACGTCAAATCGCCTATATTTCGCTTGAGGAATTGTTTTATTGATGGTCTAAACGTCAGAACAAGTTAAAGTCGTTGGAGTATCTATAAATGTAAGTTCTTTTCTATTATAATTTATGTGTTTAAAGTTAGGAATATTTCACTTGTTGTTGTAAGATACATTTAGTGACATTATACACTTTGGGTATTTGAGTGTCTCAAAAATATAGTCATTTGACTTTGGCATGTTATGTTGCTTTAGTTTTTGGTAGATTAACTTTTTCCATACCAAAAAAGTATCAGGATTTTAAGCTGTCAAAATGATTATATTTTGTATCCTTGCGATCAAAAATAGCCAAATACGAACCGACTTGAAACGGCTGGTCGAAATTGCATATTTCCCCCATTGACTATTGAGTGCCAAAACTATTGTCGACTCTGAATATTGACATAATACTCTCATTTCGCATTTAAATTCAAGTTTTGAATAACGTAACCAGAAAGGGCCATACACAGGCGCAAGAGAGACAACTTTCCTGACGAATTTATTACTTTGCTCGTGTGTACAATGTCAATGAACAATTTTTCTTCGATAAATTTTCTCTTGTAAATTTAACATTCATTCAAAGCTGCAAAGTGGGCCACGAACACAATGGTATATGAACATTTCTTCATCCCAATGGGGCAATGGGAATATTTTTCCCTTGGGCCATGGCATTGTTGCTCAATTGTGTTTGGCCCACTTGGCAAGATGGCGTCGCGAATTAAATCTCGTTCTTTTGAAATTCGCTTTTGAAGTATGGTATCGTAGACAATAGAAGCAACTATAGCAAGATGGCGCATCCCGAAAAGCCGTATAGTAATCTCGGAGATCATTTGCCATGATCTCTTTGCACAAAATTTGGCATGACTAGCCTATGAACGAAGCTTCTTGTCAGGGAAAAAAGTCCATGTTTTTTACGAAAGCTGGAAGTCGACAGAGAACTTGCGATACGGAATGTTCTCGTACGCGCGCAAAAATCTCACATCTTGTAGCAAGTCTGCCAACAAGCTGTCAACAAGTTGTGTTCGCACTGCTTGTCCCAAGTCGTCAACAGGTTTGGAACAAGCTGTGAACAACTTGTAACAACCTTGTTGGTATTATCAGACTTGTTGCAAGGTTGTTCTGACAAGTCCGTTACATGCTTGATGTAAAAAGATTGTTACAACCTTTGTGTTGACAACCTTGTAACAACATTCTTAACAAACTTGTAACAAACTTGTTAGCGCAGTCTTGCATTAAACAAGGCTGACAATGCCATCAAGCTTGTTACAAGTTGTTAACAGCTTGTTTCAAACTTGTTACAACAAACTGGGAACAAGCAGTGCGAACTCAACCAGTTGTCGACAGCTTGTGAACAGACTTGTAACAACTTGTTTGCAGACTTGTTACAAGTTGTGCGTTTTTACGCGTATAGATGGGAGGGTCCTGAGGGATTTGCCTGGTTTTGGACTACGAAAATGGAATTTGGGTTAAAGGGGCTGCGGGAAACGTCAGACACAAAAATGAGAATGGGAAAACCCATTATCAAGACAGTTGTCGTTGGACATTTCAGAGTTTAAATAACTTCCAGGAAAGCTGCCGACCAAATCATGATTGACAGTTTGTCTAAAAATGTCTCGGAAGGCTGCTTTCTCAACCCATTGACATTTTGTTCATTTTTACCCACTTTTTTCATTTTTGAAAAAAGGTGTAAAAAATGGCAAAAAGTAAGGCCAACTCCTTAACTTTTCCTACATTTTTAGCCCATTTTTCGTTTTTGAAAAAATGGCCAAAAATGGAAAGTATAAGGCTGTAGCCTTAACTTTTCGTCTCTTTTTGGCCACTTATTTCATTTTCGAAAACGGGGCAAAAAATAACAAAAAAGTAAGGCTATATATACCCTTAACCTTTCGTCCGTTTTTGGCCACTTATTTCATTTTTGAAAAAGAGGCAAAAAGTAACCCTATAGCCTTAACTTTTCGTCCATTTTTGGCCACTTATTCATTTTTGAAAACGAGACAAAAAGTAACGCTATTATAGCCTTAACGTTTCGTCCATTTCTGGCCACTTATTTCATTGTTGAATAAGTGGCAAAAAACGACCAAAAAGTAAGGCTATAGCCTTAACTTTTCGTCCATTTTTAGCGACTTTTGCCATTCTCCATAAATGGGAAAAAAACAGTAAAAAAGTAAGGCTATAGGCTTTACTTTTCGTCCATTTTTAGCGACTTTTTCCCCTTTTCATAAGTGGGCAAAAAACAGCAAAAAAGTAAGGCTATAGCAAAAAACGACCAAAAAGTAAGGCTATAGCCTTTACTTTTCGTCCATTTTTGGCCACTTATTTCATTGTTGAATAAGTGGCCAAAAATGACAAAAACAGTAAGGCTATGGCCTTAACTTTCCATCCACTTTTGGCCACTTATTTCATTTTTGAAAAAGAGGCAAAAAGTAACCCTATAGCCTTAACTTTCAGTCCATTTTTGGCCACTTATTTCATTTTTGAAAAAGAGACAAAAAACGACCGAAAAGTAACGCTATATATAGCCTTAACTTTTCGTCCATTTTTAGCCACTTATTTCGTCATTGTTGAAAAACAGGCAAAAAACGACCAAAAAGTAAGGCTATAGCCTTAACTTTCAGTCCATTTTTGGCCACTTATTTCATTGTTGAATAAGTGGCAAAAAACGACCAAAAAGTAAGGCTATAGCCTTAACTTTTCGTCCATTTTTAGCGACTTTTGCCATTCTCCATAAATGGGAAAAAAACAGTAAAAAAGTAAGGCTATAGGCTTTACTTTTCGTCCATTTTTAGCGACTTTTTCCCCTTTTCATAAGTGGGCAAAAAACAGCAAAAAAGTAAGGCTATAGCAGAAAACGACCACAAAGTCTTTACTTTTCGTCCATTTTTGGCCACTTATTTCATTGTTGAATAAGTGGCCAAAAATGACAAAAACAGTAAGGCTATGGCCTTAACTTTTCATCCACTTTTGGCCACTTATTTCATTTTTGCAAAAGAGGCAAAAAGTAACCCTATAGCCTAAACTTTTCGTCCATTTTTGGCCACTTATTTCATTTTTGAAAAAGAGGCAAAAAGTAACGCTATTATAGCCTTAACGTTTCGTCCATTTCTGGCCACTTATTTCATTGTTGAATAAGTGGAAAAAAAACGACCAAAAAGTAAGGCTATAGCCTTAACTTTTCGTCGATTTTTAGCGACTTTTGCCATTTTCCATATATGGGCAAAAGCGGCAAAAAAGAAGGTTATAGGCTTTACTTTTCGTCCATTTTTAGCGACTTTTTCCCCTTTTCATAAGTGGGCAAAAAACAGCAAAAAAGTAAGGCTATAGCAAAAAACGACCACAAAGTCTTTACTTTTCGTCCATTTTTGGCCACTTATTTCATTGTTGAATAAGTGGCCAAAAATGACAAAAACAGTAAGGCTATGGCCTTAACTTTTCATCCACTTTTGGCCACTTATTTCATTTTTGCAAAAGAGGCAAAAAGTAACCCTATAGCCTAAACTTTTCGTCCATTTTTGGCCACTTATTTCATTTTTGAAAAAGAGGCAAAAAGTAACGCTATTATAGCCTTAACGTTTCGTCCATTTCTGGCCACTTATTTCATTGTTGAATAAGTGGAAAAAAAACGACCAAAAAGTAAGGCTATAGCCTTAACTTTTCGTCGATTTTTAGCGACTTTTGCCATTTTCCATATATGGGCAAAAGCGGCAAAAAAGAAGGTTATAGGCTTTACTTTTCGTCCATTTTTAGCGACTTTTTCCCCTTTTCATAAGTGGGCAAAAAACAGCAAAAAAGTAAGGCTATAGCAAAAAACGACCAAAAAGTAAGGCTATAGCCTTTACTTTTCGTCCATTTTTGGCCACTTATTTCATTGTTGAATAAGTGGCCAAAAATGACAAAAACAGTAAGGCTATGGCCTTAACTTTCCATCCACTTTTGGCCACTTATTTCATTTTTGAAAAAGAGGCAAAAAGTAACCCTATAGCCTTAACTTTCAGTCCATTTTTGGCCACTTATTTCATTTTTGAAAAAGAGACAAAAAACGACCGAAAAGTAACGCTATATATAGCCTTAACTTTTCGTCCATTTTTAGCCACTTATTTCGTCATTGTTGAAAAACAGGCAAAAAACGACCAAAAAGTAAGGCTATAGCCTTAACTTTCAGTCCATTTTTGGCCACTTATTTCATTGTTGAATAAGTGGCAAAAAACGACCAAAAAGTAAGGCTATAGCCTTAACTTTTCGTCCATTTTTAGCGACTTTTGCCATTC